AGGTCTGCCCGCATTTGTGTATATGGGCATTTTTGCTTCTGCAACAACAAAACATAACATGGGATCTCAATTCCGTTACTCGAATGGAGCAAAAGGATGAATACAAGCCAGAAAACGAATATCTCAATCATGATCAACACTCTAACCCTAAGCTCAAATTCAATTCTAATAAATCATGTATGTAAGTACTCCATCCAAAGTTCGGATCTTTTGCACGATTACTTATGATAAAACCAGGGGAAGGAGTATAGATAGTAACCTCAGTTTTCACGTCATCGTTTGGGATGTTTGCATTCTGAAAATCTTCTTTATGATCATCCTCGGAGTTGATCTTACTATTGGAGATTCTACTTGAGAAGGCTTTGTAAGCTGAATCAGTATGAATGGTCTCCATAACTGAACCGAAGAAATTTGTGACCGGCACCTAATTCCCGTAATAAGTAGAATTAAAAGAATGAGTAATTAATCATCTCAAGACAGGCACAGTTCATCAAAAAGGGTAACAAAAAATATCCGGAACATGCAAGTACTTCATCTAAATCAATAGTTTCCCTAATCATGCAACATTGAACTTTTGGGAAAACCCAGACTGTGATTTGTGAAACCCCCATATAACAAGCAATACTTAGTCTTGATTAGCCACAACAGAATAGTAATTTAAGCTGACATAGAATTAAAATGTGACATTGCTCAATCAATTTCCTCCTTACCTCCTCCAGATGTGGTTCGTAAAGATCAGTCCGGTAGTAGGCAGTAGACATTAGCAGTCTCGGATCGTAGGACCTAAACAAACTGCACAACACCAGGGAGGTGAACAGATTATGTTTGTAGCTCAGCTTAAAAGGGCGTGTCAGTTTTAACAATGATCAGAAAAATGTCAGAGTCAAGAGGTAAAAAATCCTGAGACACATATATAACTCATTCGAATATTACAACTCGTATAGAATAAAATACCAAAATATGACCAAACATTACAAGGTAGTTCAGACAACCAAAAGGTTTAGTCACAAACCAACTATTTTAATTGCTCTCCTTAGTCAATTCGACAAATCACAATGACGTTAAAGATATTCAAAGTGAACAAAATACCATTAGAAACTGTTGGTGACAAGAGTTGCAAAGTTGGTGACAAGAGTTGCAAAGTTATTGTACCTGTTAAGTGATGCATTGTCATAGATATTGAGCCTCTCAAAGAATGCAAGAGTGTAATATGTAAACCGATCTACAACAGATACACCAATCTGAAGCAAAACAATAGTAGAATTGGAGAT